TTCAATTTTGTTTTAAGAGAATGTCTTGATAGATTATGTAAAGCACATTACATGTTGGCTCCGAGATCACATAGGTAGTAATATACAACAACTCAAGCCTCGTTCGATTGATACTGCTAACAAGATTAATCAAACAGGACATTTTTTATTGGGTCATCTCTGAAAATTCATTATATTTCATAACGATTCAATTATGGACTTGAACAGCCAGTGTAAAGTGGGAATTAAAGAACTTTTGAGTGTAGAAAGGCATCGTTAGACAAAATGCTACAAATTATTTGCCACCGAATTGAAGGTGGGAAAAAAGAATAATTGACCCCTTCAAATTTGATTGCCACGGCGCCCGTGTTCTTTTTGCCTCTTTTTGATTTTATCCCCAGCTTTATTTCAAAACTTTATATGCAAATTATCTTATACCAAGATAAAATAATAGAACTATCAGAATTAATAGAATTAGAGTTCCATTATTTTATCGTGTTTTTACAAATAAAAGTTAAATTTAAAAGAGCGAAATTTTTAATGGCATAATTTATTGTTTATGCTTTACTGTAATTACAGATATATCTTGTCACAAAAATTCTAACCTAGTCTAATAGATGCTACACTTTGATATTTTATGATTTTCAGTCATTGGGGCATACTTCTTTAATCGTCTTTATCTACGATAGATTTAAGAAAAGTTAATGCGATTTCTAGTAACCTGTTCTATACTACTACATTGTGAGCAAGAAAGATAAATTCTTGATTCTAACTTGTTTTCGTTTGCTGCATTTTGCTACCTTAGCTGGCCTATCCAAAGCATTTTGACCTTACAATTAGTTCGATTACTTTAAAATAAAGCATCTTTAATACAAATTGTGTATAGTAGAATAAACATGCACTTGCTTAAGCAATTAAGCTACGATGTTCAAAAGAGAAAGAGTGTGAAATAAAAATTTCCTGGTCACGATTCAATGTGAGAAGGTCAAGAGGAGGTTTTTTGCCAAATTCATGTTAGCTGGTTACTTCAATGTCACATTTGAGCTGTTAGATTTCCCTATAGAGGAAAATTGATCAAGTTAAACCTATCACTATAACAATTGTAAATTACTCCTTTAAGGTATAAGGGATATTGTGGAAATGTCCGTTTAACGCTATTTATTTAGCCAAAGATTAAATTCATCAACTTTATTCTCTTGTAGAATAAGATTCTTTCTGGTTTTGCATTTTCATCAACAATTTTAAAAAAACTTATATTGTTGTCTTTGAACAACTGTCCGGCAACTGTTCGGCACTCATAATAAACAGATTTTCTTTACTTTCTTTTGGCTGGTATTCAAAACACATGATTACAGTATAAGTAAAGAGCTGAATCTTGATGATGTGAATCTAAATCTAAAACACTCCACAAAAATCTATAACAAACATCTTGGTTCACTCTCGAAATAATTTCATTTTACTAGGGTAAAAATCCATAGAATGACACCATTCAAAGTACGTTCTAGAAAACTTTTGGCTATGCAAACCTTTAGTTTTCTCTTTTAAAAAATCATCTTAGCTGAAAAGTTTTGAAAACCTCGAAACGGTAGGAATGGTTTGTAGTTTCATTTCAAGGATTTCACCACGAGGTCTTATTCCAACATTTAGGATCTTTGAATTGAAAATGTTTGAACTAAAATGGCACCACTATAATGGAACTAAAGATGTCGCCAAAAGACTGCTGAAAATGTGCTACCTTCACTAAAATAAAGGCCAATACTGATTATCATTTATCTTTAACATTGAAACGTTATTTTTCAAAAGATTTTTTAAACAAATCATGTCCTGTTTTACAAAACCTAAGGCAACAGTTTCTGATTAAATGCTAGATAGGCTTCAGAGTATCGAGAAGTTTTATAAAAAGATTTTACTAGAATCTTTTAGTGTTGGCAATACACTAATTCGACTTACGACCTCGTTTTGGAATTTTCTCCAAACTTAATTATACGACTTTTAAGCTCAGATTTTATCGCCATAATATTAGGCGGGATACCATTTTTCATATTGTTTCAGCTTGTATTTGAGATTTTATGGAAAAATGAAGTTTGAAAACTTGTAAGGGATTTGACCGCAAAAATCGTTCCGGGAGAAACTTTACCCCCCTAGTCGCAAATCACGGTCAAATCCCTTATAAAATTTTTATCTTTGTGTCGTCATAAAATCAATATCGTGAGCAATATGATAATGAAAACTTACAATTAGACTAAAATCATTACTCTCAATCTGAATCTGAGGTCAAAAATTTTATACAAAAAAATTTTGAAGAATTTTCAAAATGAGGCCGTAAGTCAAATTGGTGTTTATTTTCAAGTCTTGTCGATTTACAATCCGTCGCCATTAGATCATTGAATAGATTGATTATTTTTCGAACCTTAAATAACTTGACAGCCAAATGATGAAATGACTTTGATTAACAATGATAACCCGAAATGACTTTTTGTCATTTAAGTAAGAAACACATCGCCGGGGTTAAAAACCTCTAGAAACGTTCGTGCTCACCATCTTTGCTTTGAGTTATTAAAATTGTATATAAAATCAAACGAAAAAATAGAATATACGCCACATAAAATTATAAAATAGAAGTTTTGTAAACTAGTAAACTTTATTGGACTCCAAAATGCCCAATTTTTCATTTCCTAATGGCAAATGCTGTCCTTGATTTGTATTTTGGACAATAATAAACTTGGTCTAACTCCTAATCTAATGGTTTTTCTGTAATTATTTTCCGTAAAAATTATTATTTGTGTTGTAGCTTAATGATGTCGTATAATGAAAACATAAAATTTATAAAAATCACAAAGTTCCAGAAAGGTGGAAGCAATCTATATCTAACAATTTGACGATTTTCAGATTTTGATTTGTAAAGTAAAGTAATAGCTACAACGAATCTTATATTCGGTTTGGTAAGCAGGAGACTGCCCAGTCTTTAAAGACAAATAAAGAGACAACATGGCGATGAAATCTAGAACCGCGATTTTAAAGACCAAGATAGACACAGCTCTACATTAAATATTTCATAAAGAACGGTAAAACCAGAGGGGTACAACATTAAACTTTAATTGATGATGTTTAAAAATTCATAGAAAAGTCATGTTGGGATATAATCTGAAATTCAGTGCAAATATTTGCTGCATTCACTATAAAAATTGACTGATATATGATCAAATATCGGAAAAATTTCTTTGCAAAGATTTAGAAATATTTATACTTTTAATTCCTATTCTGGATAAAAACACTGTTGAAAAACACAGAATTAAATGTTTTTCCGCTTTGCTTGTAATCAGGCTGCTGGAAAAGCTGTTTTTTGTTGTAAAATGGCCTAATGAAATGCTTGTATAAAATCGCAAAATCCTTGCTCTATGTTACGATATAATTAATTGTTTGAAGAAATTCAACGCATCTAAAAATCAATCTTTAAGAAAGGTTGTAATGTTTTGGTTTCCTTCAAATCATATCAGCCAAATGCAAGCGAGGATAATTCAAAATGGTGTGGTAGTAGCCGATGAATATAAGAAACAAAGTCTTAGTAGTTTATCATTAACTAAAACTCACCCATTTGACTAGATATTCAATGGTACTTCCTCTTTTTAGACCATTCTTTTTAGATTTCAAGGTGTTCATACAATACCATTGCAAAACATTAACTCATTAAATTCACACTGTTTTTATAACAAGGTAAAAATTTGTATTCTACGACAGGCATCTTTCTATTTGTTTTTGAAGCATTCTTTCAAAAAACATTTCTTCAACCGAATCAATTAACCAAGAAAATAAAAAGTATTGCAAAGTTAACAATAAATCTCAAACTATTCTATGCTGTTTTTTACTCTTTTTATCATAACCAAATAAGCAAATGATACTTGGTCCTAAGTTGCAATCAGTCAAGTCGTCATTCGCGAAGAAACCATCGAAGGCTTAAAATGCATTTCAAGACACGAAAACTTCTTTTACCAATTAAAGGCAAGAATTATCTCTGAACCTGCAGGAATAATATAATAAAGAAAACTTCGGTTTACATAATTTGGGTAGATAAAAAAAGACAACTGCAAAAATCAGGCAGCTATTGATGAATGCATTAAGTAAAAAACGTAGAGCCATTCACAGCGAAATAAGAAAGCAGATTCTGTGGTAAAATATTCTGAGAACCATCTCACCCTTATTTGCTAACGGTTATTGTTTGGCAACCTGGAACAAATATGAAATAAGTTCAAGTTCGAAGTTCAAGTTTGTTGAATTTCTTAAAATGCTTGATCAAATGTCATATGACACTTGCCGAATTCCCATGGAGTGGAAGGAGCCGAAGTGGCATAAGTATTTAAAAATGGAGCAAAACTGCAGCCAATTATTATCGCTCCTGATCCTTTGCATGCATTAGAAGCAAAATCATTGAATATCTCTTGACATTATGGAACATGCATCTAAAAACAATTTATTTTATGACAGAGTATATTACGTCAGAAGTAGGGACGAAAAGATCAAGAAAGACAATAAACACCCAGTTGCGGAAACATATTTCATCAAACTTCCATCAAAAACGAAAGTTTCGAATCCTTTCTTGTATTTCGGCAGATTTTACTCGTTGCGATTTCAAAGGAGGGTTTCCTAATTATCAACGTAGTGATATTATATTCTCGCTAGTCCTTGAGGATGCAGTCGAACAGAAGAAACAGATAAGAAACATATGAGCTTACAATAAGCTGTTTTTGTTAAGCTTTCGCAGAGCCTACATTGAACTACGTATTTGCGATATTTAATGGGAATCTTGAAGAATATTTTTATAAATAGCAAACAATTGAAAGATGTAATGATTTCATTATGACGTCACTATTGATTTGATTGTCATGAAAATTTCAAGTTATCATTGTAGTACAAGGAAATAACAATGTCTAAATCTTAGGCCTCAACTACTGAGGTGAACATACGATTTATGGGGGCCAATTGGCTCCACAATCTTGACTTTACGATGCTTAAAAGAGCTTTGCCCAGATAAGGCGAAAAAAGATGTTAGCAAAAGGAAAATATTCTCGCTAGGTATCAAAGCCCTTGCTTCCCCTGAGCTGACAGATTGATGGCAAGATAGAAGATCCAATCGAAATACTACCTTTGATTTAAAATTTAAATAAAAACAATGTTTGCAAAAGAAAAGTGGCAATAGTATTAAACAAAAGAAGCAGCTGATATAATTGTTTACATTTCTTTACAATAATATTTGAATAGGTTTCAACTGCATTTAAGTGAAAACAATTATCAGAAAGCAATAGCAGCACGTTTTCCTGGAGAGAAAAGGTATCCGTTGGTAGCATTTGCAAGAAAAATTCAAAGTAAGTATATTATGATAGGAAAAGAAATTGGGTTGGACACAACCTTGTAAACTTTTGTCATTATCGATTGCAGAACCATAGAGACACTTTTCTACACTTGTTCCTTTCGTTTTGTTAAGGTAAATTTACTCAAACCATTCCAATTTTCATGTTTCCTTTAAGATTCAATTTTTCATTGATACATTTAGTCAATGGGATTTTGTTGCGCCTAAGACTTGTTGCTTGCAATGCATTTCGCTCTAATATACATTATTCAGGTTTTTCACGAGTAACATCACCGACTGTATTTAATGATATGTTTTCTCGGGCATCGTTTGCTTCCATCTGGAAAATTTTGAATCTTAATTTGTGTCATACAATGGAAGCGCTAGCTATTATAGAATGGGAGGGTAATGGGCGCGCCCAGTGGGACCATGCCCCTTTGGCCTCCTTTCCGTAATTTATACCAAATTAACTTTCCTAAGGAAATTTGATCTACCCCTCCCTACCCAGTGATTTTAATTAATTTTTAGAAGAAATGTGTAGACCATATTTTCAGAAAAGTAAGGGGGGGGTAATCACCCCCATACAACCCCTTGGCGCCGTCACTGGTGTAATATAACGAGTTCTAATGTGAATCAGGTTATTCTAACCCGTTCAAACTCCGTTTATAGGAATAGTAAAAGAATTCAAATGGCAAGCGAAAAGCAAGAAATACTTCAAGATGTTCTTGGCATTGCAATAGATATTTCAAACTTGGTGCTCAACTTTTCCCTTGCATATGCTTTGAAGAAGCTCAACAAACTAAGAATCGTATCTTATTTGTTCATTTTCTGGTTGAGTGTATCAGATTTCCTTGTTGGTGCGACTGGATTACTTTATCATATTGGATGCCTTTTACAGATTAACAGCAAGATTGTTTTTCTTCTTCATGGACCAGTGGTGCTTTTTTTGCATTGTTCTGGTCTTCTCACAATCACAATCGCAATAGACCGATGCATTCATATGAAGTTACTTAACAGATACGGCTGTTTCATGACAATTCGAAAGAGCCACGTGATTCTTGTTTTGAATCCAATTAATGCAGCTGCCTCGCTTGTTTTCAGACACTTCTTCAAAAAAATATATTTTTCAATCTTCTTAATTTTTTTTCTCTTTTTATGCATCATATACATCTTGACGTATTTTTCTATAAAAGAAAATATCAAAAATATCAGAGTTCATTCTGGCCCTAAGAACACCGTTGCTGACTTCTCTTCACAAAATGAACATCGCTGTGCCGACCTTGTAAATGATCAAAAAAATCAAATCAACATTGGAAATATCACGTGCACCAACAACGTCAATCAGGTGAATACAACAGGCATCAGAGAAGCATGTTTTGGAGGGCAAGAAGAGAAGCAGCATAGAACTGTAGAAAGAAGAGAAATGTCACCAAACAACTGCCATAGGTTTGTAGTGAAGAAAAGTGGTGCAGGTGAAGATTACCATTTAAGCAAAAATCGTGATGCTCAAAAAGTCGCTTCTTCTAGAAAAAGAGGTAAAAGACCGGAAAATGAATTTGGGAAAGCAATGATCTTTATTCTAACTGTTTACGCTGTTTCCTTCGTGCCAGTTAACATAATTCTTTTGATTAATATCTTGTCTCCAAACCTGGTAGCCTTTTCATACATAAAATACATTCGTTTGCTTCCAAACTGTAACTCATCTTTTAATGCTGTGATTTTCATATACTTTAGCAGCGAGTTAAAATGCTATTTTCAAACTCTTTTATTTCAAAGGCGATGAAGCACTATTAGACTGGCATTTTTGTTCCGAGATATGACATATCATTCTACCTGTCCTTCCTATCCACAATTGTCCTAACCTTCCGTTACCTCTCATTAACTATCCTGAACATTTTCATTCATCACCCAAGTCACTCCCAAAATTATTAAGCAAAGGAGAGGGAGATAAAGGTAAATGAACCAGATGACCAGTGTACTTTAACTACTAGTCTCCAAAGTTTCTCTAAAGTTAACGAGAGGAAAAGAAAACATCAGATTATTTACATGTTAGATGAATGGGCTGGAGTTGATGAATATTTATTTTACTGTTCTGTCCTTTATGTCTCACTTCACGGATTCAGTTAAGAAATTGCTACCATGTGAAGTAATGTATAATTCTATTTTAATATTATTGATTGTTAGATGATTAAGACTATGATAAGTAATGAAATTTAAGTAATAATTACTTGTTTTAGATCATATTACAAGCCATCATGTTTTAAAGATGCAAGAAATTGTAAACTGACTTTATGGTCCTTTACCAAGTTGCGCTCAAAATCGACGCTGAGAAAGTTGATAGGATTTTTGGGATAATTGGTATTATTAAAAGCAGTCATTCATTCCTGTGTAAAATTTTCAAAACTAATATTTATTTCTGCCCTTTACTATATCAGAAAACAAAATTATTGAGGATAAATGAGATACGAAATAGACATTACCATTGCATTGCATTGCCCCGCTCGTTTCTTATATTACTTCCATGGGCTTCAAGATAATTGTGGTCAAAGTTTTTTTTATGCAATGATTTTTTAAACGGCTTACTTTTATGAAGTTTTGGTTTAACGATTCAAGAATATCTAAACCCCCTTTCGGAATTCGACTAGAAGAATTAGCAGTGACAGAAATACTCCTTGATTTCTCACAGCACAAGAAATGTTTTCATACATGTGTTGTTTTGTTATGCTCATACAAAAATTTTTCCCAAAAAAGGCATATAGGTATGGACCACCCATGCTTTGTCCTCTTTATTCCTTTGGCAAACAGTCTCTGTATAAAGCCAAAGTCTATGGTTTTCAATTTATATCTTATGTTTTTCACTTGAAGGGAACTGCTTTACATTACATCTTGCTTGATATCACAATGACACTACAAGTAGGATCAGGTTTAGAAACATTGAATTCTGTAGAGGAAGCATGAAATTTCAAAAACATTTCTACTGGGCCTTGTCAAAAAAGCCTCATACTTAAAATTTTTTGATTTTGTGTTTTTCTTGACTTTAGGAAAACTATACCTTAAAAAAGAAAATGAAAAATTACTGTTTACTATGAGGGGGGGGTGGAAACTATTCGAGGGGGAGACTCATGAAATGTAAAATAATGATGATCTATTGTCAACGCTCACATTCTCAACGTATACGGAAGGGCTTTACTTTGGTAATGGAAGTGTACAAATCTGTCTTGATATTTTAAGTTTTTTTCTGTTATATTTCGTAAGTTTACAAAAAGCATGGAACCAGCTAGCAACAAGTGTGACTTTAAAGAACCAGCAAGAGACCAGTGTCTAGAAAGTCGGCTTATGTCAAAGCTTTTTGTTGTAGACATTCTTTGGATTGAAACATGTTGAGACGATCAGGAAAGTAAAAAAAAGGAGAAAAGATTGCATCTATCATAGAAACTGTTTAATGTAAGGTTGACAAGTATTGGAATTTCTGTAAGGTCTGTTCAATATTCTGCTGCACTTGTGATGACAAGAGCATGGAAATAACATCACGTGAAAAGTTATACGCGGAGTTAGGCTGAGAATCGCTAAATCTTTAGAGATGGAGTTGACGCCTCACCTTTCTAAATAAATTTTCTAAATAATTCCGCACCTTTTGATACTAGTGAACCAATCCCATCAGTTTACCAGTTTCTATATTCTCTTTGTAGGCAGGACGCAATTGTGCAAATGGGCGCAAGGACTACATGATTTCAGTCTACTTTCTATCTAAATTGCTTATCAGGATGGAATAAGCTTGATCCAGAAATAATACTTGAACCATCTGTTACTGTTTTTAAATTAAAACTGCTATTCATAATACATCCTCCTGCGAGATCTGTTTTTGGCATCTACGAACCATTAGGAATATCTTATATTACACAACTTAGGGTTGGCCTTAGCAAATTGAACCCTCACAAATACAGACACAATTATAGGGATACAATTAACCCAATGTGCTCAACAAGTGATGGCATTGAGGATACTGAGCACTGTTTGTTGCACTGCCCCTCTTTTGACGAGGAACGAAGTGATCTTCTGACATAAATCGATCGTTTGTATAGATTGGAATGAGGTTTTCTGGGTGTAACATTGTCTGATAGGAATAAAAGGCTTCCATAGTACTGCCTAAATTGAAAACTGAAAAAACAAGACTACTTGGCGGATCCCTTGATAAATTATGACCAGAGTGGAAATTTTCTATCTCAGTTCAAAAATTTTTCCAAATTTTTCCACTGAAATCTTTCGTATCTGCCATCTTCCTATATTAGCATAGTAAAAAGCTCCTAAATTAAATGGGTTTTTAGGAGCTTTTTACTTTACGCTCAAATTATAATTCCTAAATATAATTCTAATTCACCGAAACATCAACTTGATATTCCTGAACATAAAAGCAATCGCTGAAGACTCCTAAAAAGCTTGAAGGGAAAATTCAAGAGAAAATGAATGCGAAAATTTCACTGATTATGTATGGAATGAGATTATTGTGCAAATAAAAGGAATCCAGAAAGAGGAATATTTTAAAATTCCTCTGAATATTAAAGAGGAATATTAAACAGAAAGAGGAAAGTTTTACTACATTTGAACAGTAGAGACGTCTTCTATTTGACTTTAAAAGATTAAGCTTGGAGGAATCTTGTGTTCTGTGTTTTCGATTTGGTCCTCAAGGAATTGCAAAGAGAGTAAAAAATAAGGCCAGATGGTCGTTGAAAGGTATTTAGGTTAGTCTCAATACCTCCATTTGTAAATATTTATTTCAAATGCACGGAAATTGAAAAATTGAAGGTCGTTTTTTAATTTTATCCTTCGAAAAATATTGGCAATTAACGATCAATAAAAACATACAATAAAACTGCATTTGAGAAATTAAGAAAATTTAGGAGTTCCAAATTGCAAGACAAATAGAGAAATTCAATAAAGAGAAAAGGCGTTGCCGTACGATTGAGAGCCGTTTCAAGCCAAGCTTAGGTATCGTATCTTGAGTACAGTAAACTGCTGAGGTTTTTTGCGATACAAATCACACACTTCTGTCAAGCCAACTAAATTTTGAAGCTGCATGATCTGTTATAACTAGATCATAATTTAGTGCATTGCATATTTTTTGCGTTCATTTTGATTATGGTTTCGTGTTGCTTGTTGTTATGGGCTCTTTTCGCGCGTCGACAGTCGCTGCTGATATCTACTGAAACTACGTGATGAAATAAAATAATCCACTTGTTGCCAGTTCCTGCAGCCGAGATGCCTAGCAATCACATCGAAATCATTTACTTCATATTTGGAATTACTATTGACATCTTGAATATGGTACTAAATTTTCTTCTTGCATATTCACTGAAGAAGCTCAACAAACTCAAAATCGTTTCCTATTGGTTTATTTTCTGCTTATGTGTCTCAGATTTTTTTGTCGGTCTAGCAGGGTTTTCCTACCATATAAAACTTCTATTGAAAGTGGATATTGGCTTTGTAGCAGCAGAAATTGCCATGAACTTCTTATTACAATACTCTTGGTCTATTATAATAACTATTGCAGTCGATCGGTGCATTCACATGAAATTGCTCATGAGGTATTCAGAATTGATGACAATGAAAAGAAGTTATATTGTACTGATATCTGATTTTGTACTTGTCACGATTGTTTTATTTATCGGCTGGTCCTTTCCATATATCCTTTTATTATTTTACCTTGCATTTTTCGTATTTTTCTTTGCTATCTACCTTTGGACATATTTTTCGAAAAAGAACAAAGTAACTGGTAGTGGAGTTCACTCTGAAGCCAAGGAAGCGGAATTTTCACCAGAGCAGGAGCCACAGCCTTCTCAAGCTGATAACAATGATAATTGTAACATTATGGTTAACTCATGTATGGAAGTCAACAGCAAAGAAAACTGTCAGACTGTTGTACAAAGAAAACAGAAGTACTGTTGGCAAGGCGGAAGTAATTCAAGACGAGGTAGATAAAGCGAGATTGGCGAAGAAAAAAGATGGAGACAGGAAGGAAGATCGAAGAGATAGCAGTGATAAGAGCTCCGACAAAATTCGCTGCATAGTGAAAAATTGCCAATCTTTGGATGCTAGGGGAGGCAGAAGGAGAAGGCCAGAGACAGAATTTGGAAAAGCTATGGTTTTTATCCTTACCGCATACACTGTTTCCTATATACCTGCGGTCGGCTTATTGGCCTATAGACAGTTTTCTGGAAAAATGTATCATGGAACAGTGTTGCAGTATGTTCGTTTACTAGCTTATTGCAACTCCTTTTTCAATGCAGTCATTTTTATCAGCTTCAGCACTGAGTTAAGACGTTATTTAAAAACACTTTTCAAGCTAAACTCAATTTGATTTAAGTTAAAAAGCGCCACAAAAGGAGGTGACTCTTATGAGGATCTCAAATGCAAAATACTGAGGTTCTTTGGGCCATAAAGACAATCTCAATAATGCATTTATGGATAATGTTTATGACCGCTTTGAAATAAAGTATTATGTTTTACTTTTACAAAGTGACAACACAAACAGTTTCTTCCCAAATACATCTGGACTTTTTTCCGACATACACAGATTTCATAAGCCCTTTTTTCTGATCCCCAGCTAAATTTGAATTCCTATTCACTGCTGCCACCAAAGTACTTCTTAAGTTATACGTCCCCAGTTCTGCGTCATCGCCAAGTCTTTTCAACATCGTCAAAGCTTATTCAACATATTATTTTTTTAGCACGGCATATTTCTCTCTCTTTTGGATTATACTCAGTTATTTATGAAGGATAACTAATAATTATAAGCAAGAAAATTGCTTCTAACTGCTTTAAATTATTGATCGGCATTTTCAAATATTGGAAGCTGAAAATATATACGAGGATTGGGAGATATAACAAACAACAATCCTCATCATGCTTTTATGAAAACTTTCATAATTATTTTCCATAACTAGAACCCAAACTCCTTTCGGTATTTATACGAGCAACGCGCGGTGTTCGACTTTCAACCTGTTGGTGTTTCGAGCTGATAAGAAGCCAGTGGAGCCACGTGTTTGAACAAGTCGGTATTTTACTTTTCTCTTTTTGAATTTATCGTATTCCATTCTTATTTTCAAGCTAATCTAGCGTTGATATTTACACTAGTTACAATTTGTTTTTTAGTTATGGATAACCAATATGCTACTAGTGTTTAATTCTCATTGCTGTTCTATAAAATATTGCGGTTGACCATTCATTGTTATTTAGCCAAATTAACTTGGATATTGTATATTTAGTATAATTATGTTAACCGGTATATTGTAATTAATCAATTTTATGTTGAAAAAATATTTTGAGTTTGAGTTTGAGTTTACTAGTGACCTTCGACCTCTGACCCCACACGTGCAAGGTTCAGGAGTCGAAGTCGATCCTGGGTCTTCTTCCGAAACACAACCAGGTTTTCTTCATACGCATTCGTCGTTAGATTTATTGAATGTACGAAGAGATTTGAACGAATTGACTGGACTTTTTAAAGAGTTCGTTAATTATTATATAAGCAGGGATAAAGGGCGGAGTTCTTCCGGCACAGCTGTAAGACCTGACCAGCATTCACGAACTCGTCGCAAGAGGTCTTATGATGAAATGTCTGTATGTCAGACCCATAATTCGTTTGAGCACGATTCTGTGTCTCACACCAAATGTTATCCGGAAGCTTTTTCTTCCGTTGAAAATCAGGATGCTATATCACCCAAACGTTCAAAGCGAGTGGATATTGACTCGTTGTTTCATGTGCCTTCCACAGTAAATTCTGAGGCATCTGTCCCAGATCTTAATATGGAAGAAGAAGTCTTGGACTTTGTTGATAATGAGTTATCCGAAGCAGTTTTAGACAAGAAAGGCAAGGGTCTTTCCTCTGATAAACTGGCCTCAAAAATTGAGGAACAATGGAAAAATCCCAGCAGAAAAGCAGTTGCTCAGGTTTTTAAGAGGCACAAGCACCCTCTCAACCTTGAGAGTATTTCTGTTCCAGCTATGCCAAAGTTGATAACGAAAATGCCTTCATTTAAGGATTCTGTTTTGGCTAGGGAGAGGAAATTGTATGATGTTCACCATTCTGTTGCTAAATCCTCCCACATCATTTCAACTTTGGTTGATGATTTACTTCTTGCAGAAAAGAATCATAGCCTTATTGACACAAAGGCAATTGTTTTGAAAGCCTTTGATGCACTATCTGTTCTCTCTAATGCCAGTGTCAATATCTCAAATTTACGAAGGCTTAATATAAGACCTATTCTTAACAAGGATGTACAGGGACTATGTGACCCTACTCGTGAAGCCTCAAACCATTTGTTTGGAGACGACATTGAAAAACGCCTGAAGCAAGAAAGGGAGTCTAAGCGTCTTGCCTCTGCTGCTACTCAACCGATGTGTCCGTAGTCTACTAGGTATAGACAACATGATAGGCAGATACCAGTTTTTAATAGGCGAACACAGCACTCATTTTATAATGGCCCTACTCAGCAGTCTTTTTTAGAGAAAGGCCAGAAGTCTCATCCATATCGGCGGAAGCAGAAGCCCTACAAGGGATAAATGTAAATAATTTTATTTCATTTCTCCCTAAACTGACAAAATATCTTTTGTACAAGATTGACACATTTAGAGCAGGTGCACTTAAAAATTATCTGGAACGTTGGTATACTGTCACTAGCGACTTTGAAACTTTACAAACTGTAGCTGGTTTACAGCTTGAATTCTCATTGCCTCTCAATTTTGAGAAAAAATTATGCTGTGCCATTTTCACCTGAAGAAAATGAGTTTATTCTAGCAGAGATTAAAACATTACAGGATAAACATGTTATAACAGAATGTGATCATGAAGGAGATGAATTTTTCTCCCCAATTTTCCTTGTCCCAAAAGATGGTGATTCTTTTAGACTTATTTTTAATTTGCGGAAATTGAACGAGTCTATGCCATATATGCATTTTAAAATGGACACCTTTGACAAGTTTATCAAAATAGTTAGACAAAATTGTTTTATGTGTACTGTAGATATAAAGGATGCTTATTATTCAGTAGCCATATCTGAATCCTGTCAAAAGTATCTGAAGTTCAAGTATCAAGACAAACTGTTTAAGTTCTTAGCGTTGCCAAATGGATTATGTTCTGGTCCAAGGAAGTTTACAAAATTATTAGAACCTGCTTTAGCGTTCTTGAGAAAGCAAGGTTTCATTGTCTCAGCATATATTGATGATATCATAATAATTGATGAATCATATGATGCTTGTACTAAAGCTACTGTTGAAACAATCAAATTATTGGATTTCTTAGGTTTTGTTATTCATCCTAAAAAATCTAATTTTGTTCCTTCTAAGTGTGTTACCTATCTAGGATTTATTATCAATTCAGAAACAATGAATGTCACCCTCCCATCAACCAAAGTA